CCTATCCCTATACTTTCTCCTTGAAATAATCTACATTGGAGATATTCAGTAAATTAATAAAATTATGAAATGACACATGAAATATATGAAATTAACTAGATTTCTATAAATTATATTTGAGGCACAATGGGTAGAAGAAATTGGAAAATTCTTCAAATTAGCTATTTTTATTCTCTCTGCAAGTTAATTTCTAAAACTGAAAACAATGCTGAATACACTTTTTATAATCTTATTTAACAGTGTGGATGACAAAGTTTTTCATAATATAGTTGTTTCAGCCAGTCAATGTTCCAACACCAATTCCACCGTCAGTGTGACATTCGCTCAATCGTTGTCTTCATTTTTGAACCACCCCACAACTCTGGCCCCTTGGTAGGCACAATATTTTATTATCTTATATTCTTATTACAATCAAATGGCAATATAATTATCAAAAATCACACAATCACAAATCATCCTGTTATTCGTCGATTGCCTCGAGCAGGCCCCAGTAACGTCTCTTTCATCCTAGCCCTGAGATTATATTCAAGGCTCTTTAGGAGAATGAGACCCATCATTGTTACTGGTATTTGGCATATTGGGTACGCCACAGGGAGTGTGCCAGACTCTGCCGTGTGGGCAGGCTACATTTGGTAGCCTGCCAGTTTGTCCAAAGTAGGAATGAGATAATAAGATGTCATAATAAGATGTCAAAATATCAAAAATATTTCAGTAAAAGAAAGTGTGTGAGAATTGTTATATCTCACAATGGGGTAACTAAATTCATTGTCTAAGGTTTTACTGACTGTATGTTGCATCTGAATCTTTTTTGTTTTTTTTAATTTTAAAACAATGTATTTTAATATAGACTTCTCTTGATAAAATTTTAGAGTCAAAACTGCTTAGATAGAAAAGGGTCAATATTAACAATAAATATTAAAAATAAATTTTTCTTTAAAAATTGTTATCACAGGGAAGAACTGGAAGAAACCTGAGTGCCCAGGAGCAGATGACTGGTTAAAGAAACCTTGGTACATCTACACAATGGAGTACTATGTAGTGGTTAGAAAAGATGAAGTCATGAAATTTATATACAAGTGGTACAACATGGAAAGTATCATGCTAAGTGAAATGAGTCAGAAAGAGAGGGATAGACATACAAAGATTGCATTCATCTGGGGGATATAAAGTAACAAAATATGAGATTAATACCCAAGAATAAATGAGATCAGCACCAGGAGAATTACTCCATAGCTTAGAGGCCAGCCGGGTGTTCTATGGGAAAGGACAGCTCAGATAGAGAAGGGAGCACCAAATTAAGGGTGTTTGGAGGATCCTCCCAGGAGGGGAGATGCATGTCTAAAGTAGACTGGACTGAACATGTTTGCCACTCAATGACTCTTTTGCAGACCACAACACCCAAAAGGAGAGAGAGAACACAAGGGAATGCCCTGCCACAGAGGCAGGGGGGGATGGGGGGGATGGGGGTGGGAGGGATAATATCCATGGTGGTGGAAATGGGCCCTGGTGGAGGGATGGGTGTTTGATCATTGTATAGTCAAGACCCAAGCACAAAAATTTGTGGATCTACACCTGTACCTCATGGTGTTTCACCAATAAAAATTTAAAAAAAATTGTTATCACAGGGTTGTTATCATGGGAATATATCCTCATGAGGTCGTTAAGTCTTTGTCTAAAAATTTATTAAACTTTTGTTGTTAGTTGAGCCTTCTGTGCTACTGTTTTGTTTGTTTAATTTAGCGGGCTTATACAATACTTTCCTATCTAATTTTGTGTTCTCCTACTGGAATTGAAGTATTGAGGAATTGGGGGGTGTCCAGAGACTTCAGGATCTATGATCTGGACCTATGAGTTGACAACACAGTGGTGGTAGGAGGTGGATGTAGTTGCTGGGGCTTCTAGAATATGGGGGTAGGGTAAAGGGAGACTCGTCACCCTGACTCCAAGAGACCCCAGAGTACTCAGTCTGGGTGGGCACTGGAGCACCTGAAATTATTTGCTGTTTGGCATCTCTGCCGATAATATTAATGAAGCAGTGGAATTGAGCCATTGGTGTCTCTGCAGTAGTGGGTTGTAGGTGTGTTTGCTGGGGCATTGGCAGGGAGAGTACTTGACCCATCTACCTCCCAACAGTATCCCACAGTTTTCAGCCACAGGGAACTTTTTCCATGAATTCTAGCTGCTTGGCTTGCGGCTAAGATTTAGTCTTATTTTCCTCAGAGATTTCATCAGGAGTAAGGGAATCAGTAGAGGAGGGCTAGTGGGTGAGTCAATGTGAGAGCTGTTGTGGGAGGTCCCTTCTGTGCTATTTTTGTTTGATTATTGAGATTAGTTTCTGTTTATACTACCCTCCCATTTGCCATGTTACTATTGGAATGTCAGTACTGTGGAAATTGCAAGTGTCACATGGCACTTTAAATGGTCACATGCTGCAGGTTCTGTTGAACTTGGATGATTCCAGGCCCATCACCCTCCCCAGTGATGGGCAGCCCTCTCCCTCCCCCAGCTCTCCTACTTCTGGAAGCCACAGCTGCCTCACACACATCCCAAAGCCACTGTCATATAAACAAAGGCTCAGAGATGCCAAGCCAAGCAAATGCAATTTATGGTGTACACCAATCTTTGGGCTGAAAACTCTGGGTACTTTTTTTTTTCTTTAGTGTAGTGTTCTTTGAAAGTCCAATTGTATGCCAAAGAGTCCAACAGAAAAAAATTAATCGTATGATTATTGTAATGTTATATAGACTATGTGATTGTTACAGTCAATTTTCCTCTCATGACTCTCTGATCAAAGTATTTTCCTTGTATTTTTTTTTTCTATTGCAGAAAGGAAATATAAGAGATACTTCCTCGCCACCCCACCTGCTTCTTCCTCAGCATATGTTTATGCTGGGACAAAACGATAGATCACAATTTTTATTAATGCAAATAATTATAAACTCAAGTTGTACCAACATTCATGTGTTTTATGTTGCTAGCGACAAATCTTAGTTGTCTCTACAGTCAGATCTTTGACTATATAGTAATTTAGTTGCCTATGACTATCATATAAGTTACATAATTTTAAGATAATAACAAACCTAAACACAATATTCCAAAGGTTTCAAACATTATGTCAGTGATATTACATTTAATCATACCATTCCAAACCCTGGGAGGTTTCATTATAATTTAGAGAAGACAAAATAGATCCCTAAGAAACTACACCAAGTTCTTTTATGAGAATTTAAATAAATGTGTCTTTATTCAAACTCATCTTTTTAACTATATTATGTTGCCTTCACAATTTCTCTCAAATATAAAATGTGAATTCACACACACAGAGACACTACCACGTGTGACTCACAAACAAATAAAACGATGATAACATTAATCTCTTTATTTTTGCTAAAGAAATTTGATATCTTCCATTCTGGAATGCTAAATTTGGAAAGTAGGTCAGTTAGCTAAAATATTCTGGTAAATCTTTTACTAATGTATTTTAACCTAGTTTGTAATATTGTTGAAATCAATCATACAAATAATAGTTTATCTCAGAGTCTTTGCAGGTAAATTAAAAAGTTTTGAAAACAATTTCCAGCTTTCACCATGATTTTAATTTGAAGCATCTCATTTATAATTGGACATTTTGATCACAATGTTAAGTAGTGATAAGATTATATATTTTGTCATAAATTGCCTTCATTTGTATTGCTTTATGAGATATACTTGATGTACTATTACTCTATGTCAATCTGATGGCTTTGACATATGCATCTATCTGTGATACCATCATCACATAAAAACAATGAAGCTTGCTTTCCAAGTCCATGTTCTCCCTTAAACATATATCTTGCTGTCAGGTGGAGTGATAGCACAGCAGGTAGGGCGTTTGCCTTGCACGCGGCGGATCTGGCCGGCCCCGGTTCGATTCCTCCACCCCAATCAGAGAGCCCGGCCATGCTACTAAGAGTATCACGCCGCACGGCTAAGCCTGGCAAGCTACCTGTGACATATTTGATATGCCAAACACAGTAACAACGAGTCTCACAATGGAGATGTTACTGGGCCCGCTCAAGCAAATTGATGAACAACGGGAGGACAGTGCTACAGTGTTTGTCTCTATGTTTCTTTGCTTGCTTATTTCCACTCTGCAGAAGACTATGCTCTTACTCAAATATGGACTTTTTCCTTTCTCTTCCCTCATATCTTTATAAATAAGTTTCAATAAAAGCTTTCTTGCTTTATAAAAAATTGATAAAGATAGTGAGTACATTGTAAACTGCAAAGCTACACGATAACCACGTTCTGTTTAGCACATGATACAACGAAGTAAATTAAGAAAGTTCTGATCTTCAAAAGTACTAATGTTAATAACTAACTCAAAGTATTTCTTGGAATTTATTCTCTTATATCAACAAAGTTGTTAAATATCAACAATATGCCCTGGAGCGATAGCTCAGCGGTAGGGCGTTCGCCTTACAAGCGGCCAACATGGCCGACCCGAGTTCGATTCCTCCGCCCCTCTCGGAGAGCCCGGCAAGCTACCGAGAGTATTCGATATGCCAGACACAGTAACAACAAAGTCTCCAATGGAGACGTTACTGGGCTCGCTCGAGCAAATCGACGATCAACGGGAGGGCCTTTACCTTTACCTTTTTTATCAACAATATAAAGCAAAAAATATACTGCTGTGAATGCCATCTCTGTTTCTTTTTTCAAATATCCAGTCATTGCTCATTTACTTATAGGAACATATCTTCAAATATTTTTGACTGTCAACTCATTTGTGGAGTTTATAACTGACTCCATTTTAATTATTCCTATTCCTCATAATTGACAGACAAAATCTGTTACTTCAGAAGCAGAATATCACAAGAATTAAATTGTTAATTGTAGGAAATGCAGTTCACTGAAACAAATCTGCAAAAGATATCTACATATGGAAAGCAACATATTAATTACAAGAGCACTTTTTCCTGTTTGAGCACTTTTCTTTCTTTTTTTTGCTTTTTAACTCAAGGGGTAGTGTGAATGCAGTGTCCCACTACCACAAACTATGCAGCAGAGTTTCCTACGTGTGAGGAAATTTCAGGGGTCAGCTCATCCAAAGTGTGATGGTCAAGCCTCAACCTGGGGAAACCATCTTTGTGATCGTGGTATCTACACTGCCAAGTAAATACAAGCCATTTTAAACTTTATTTAGGATTGTAAACTATTCACACAAGGACTAGAGAGTGTGGGAAAGGTTCTTGCCTTATATGAAGCTGACCCATGTTTGATCCCTACACCCTATGTGGTCCCCCAAGCCCCTACAGGAATGATTCTCAGTACAGTGCCAGGAATAAGCCCTGAGCACCAATGCATGTGACCCCAAACCCAAAAATAAATTTAAAATCTTAATGAAATAAAACACACACAGCTTTAAGAAATTAACAAAATAATAATCAAATGGTGGTTTATCAGTTACTTGCAGTTATTTCTTTTGTATATTTCTATTTCTGGTTACTTTAATTTCAATTTTATGTTATCAACCCATTCTAATTCATGAGAAAAACAAAATATAGATATTTCACATATTTTACCACATGTAACACACTTTATGTCAATTGTTTGAAAAACAGCCCATTGATATAATAGATTTACTTAAATAAGCTATTATATTGATAGCTTATAACCTAGTAAAATATTAGCCTAAATATGGTATAAATTCCTACTAGGGTAGTAAGTAAGTAAGTAAAGGCCCTCCCATTGATCATCAATTTGCTCGAGTGGGCCCAGTAACGTCTCCATTGGAGGCTTTGTTGTTACTGTGTTTGGCATATCGAATACATCACGGGGAGCTTGCCAGGCTCTGCTGTGTGGGTGAGATACTCTCGGTAGCTTGCCGGGCTCTCCGAGAGGGGCGGAGGAATCGAACTCGGGTTGGCCAGGTTGGCTGCGTAAAAGGCAAACGCCCTACCGCTGTGCTATCGCTCCAGCCCTATTAGGATAAATCGTAGAAAATATTTATATTATTTATTTTCATTTTACCCCTAGTGCTTAATGTGGAAATTTCCTAAAAATGTGGCAGAATATCAACTTGGGTTTTATAAATATATTTGGTTTTGTTACATGGTTCTCATCTGTATTTATTTGACATGTATACTTTAAATAATTTTTACACATATAAGAAGTATTTAAGGTATTTATGAAGAATGACATGCATTTCATCACTGACAAAATGAGAGGATTTATCAAGGAAAGTACCTGAAGGTTTTGTTCAGGAAGAGTAAACATGCATATTTAATGATGGGGGAAATAAAAATGATTAGAAACTTAGATATGTAAAGATCTTTTGTATTTTGCATTAATTAAAGAAATATTATTATGTGTCTCATAAAATTTCAGTCACAAATTCTATTCAGAGAAGCTAATTTAAATTGGCTTTGCATTGAACATTGTTGTATTTAAAATCAGGACTATGGTTGAACAAAAGAGTCATAATAAACAATGTCATGTTCTCTGGGTTTCATAGGGATGAATGTTAGCCTAGTTTTATTTGAAATTTCATTAACGACCTGAGAAAAGGGGTAAATAGCATGAGATCCTAATGAAATTCTTAAATGAGCTAAGATTGACACATAGTAAAAGCACCACACACAAAAAAAAGATCACTGCTTGAAACCATTATAAATGGATAGTATTCAGATGAAATTTCAAAACACCTTTAATTTTTTGAATAGAGTATAGCTTAAGAAATTAATGAAAACTCTATATAGAGGGTAAGCTCAGTCTTTCAAATACACTTTGGAATTAGACATTAGTAAATATTAATTAGAATACTCTCGTTATACAATAAAATAGTTTTATAGATAGTACAATGAGGCATTCAAGTTTCAAAATTTCTATCAACAGGCACTTGCTTATATAATATTTCATGTATATTAATATTTATAACCCATCATATATAATTTAATTTTTATTGATACAGGCTAATTTCAAGAAATTTTAGATTAGGTGGCAAGAGAGAAAGGGAAAAAATGCCATAGAAAGCAATGAAGAAGTAGAAAATAAATGATAATTTGGAAAAAATACTAATACCTTTGGGAAAAGAGAAGAAAGCTTTACTGGAAACATACATCTGAAATAAAAGAGGATAAAATAGTAAAATAAAGCCTAGACTATATAAATGTGATTACATAATGCAATAGAATTATTTGCAAATAATTATCTTAAAAACATCTTTCATGGCAAAGATAATTCTTTGAGAGCAGATTTATGTCTAATTTGTTATAAGCTCAATTGTTCTATTTTCTACTATCTAAGACTCCTTTCTGCTCTACCGATTTACACATTTATGAGGCACAAAACTTGGATAATTCCCAAACACTACAGATTCATTAATTTTTTAAAAGGTCTGTTTAGAAGTTATCAGTTTGTCAGTTCTTGAGGACTTTGGCTGTAGGCAACTTCAAATATTTACTAGTGAGTCTACAGTTTGGTTACATTTTATGAAGACTATGTACTGTTTAAGCATGGGTAAGATTTCTATTTTTGATATCACAGCAAATACTGTGTGAAAGAACACTGAATTGTAAGTCTGGAGAGACATTCCATTCGTTAAGTCAGTTACCAGGATAATCTTCATATGTTTCTTAAGTCATTTATAAAAATTGTAAAAGTGCTGGAATGAGATTCTATAGAGAATTATTATGTTCCCCTTATTTTATAATTTATGGCAACTATAGACAATTTTTTTCAGAAAAGATAATAAAAAGAGAATTGTAGTACAACTAATTAGAACTGATTCCACGGGACAAACAATAAATATAAAGTTAAGATTGAACAGTGACTGAAAAAACTATATTATGCTGCTACAATGTTCTAGAGATAATCTGAAATGGGAATTAAATGTGGTTATTAGATGATGTAAATTAAAAAAACCTGAATAATAGAATACAACAAAAGTAAGCAGAAGGAGAGCATGGCAGTGTTCTGTTAAGTTGTACTTATACTTAAGTTTAACTTTTACATCTTGTATTTGATTTTTGATATGGGATTTTGACAAATGCCACTTGGAGGCACTCTTATACTATTATACTGTATAACTTGTACTATCAGAATGTCATATAATGAAGCATTCAATCTTTATTTCTTTTTTAAAATTCTAATAAGCACACAGGAATGGGTAATTAACACTGGTTGTGCTATTTAAACTCTGACATTTTTCATATTTATCACCTGTAGTTTCTACTATTATAAATAATCTATTCATCAAATAAAGCAGATTCCATTCATTCTTATAAGGAAATAGACAAGTAAGTAGGCACAACCCTTTTACACACAACCTGAGAAATTTGGTTTATAAGTTGCAGTTTTTATGATATAGAATTATACCTTTAAAGAAGTTTGTTTATATTTGCTATTATTCAAAGCAGAACCACCAATGACAACTCAGATGTTCTTGGTCTTAACCAACTATATCAATAGTTTAAAAAAGTTTATGAAAAATATAGACTACACAATGAACTTAAAATAGTTATCGCAGTGGCATGTAGGTGGTCCACATTAAAATTTATTTATATATGAAAAATGTAGTTCATATCTACCATGTTTTGGTAAGAAACATTTAAATGATTATAGATCTTATTTGGAATGCTTTAATTTTACCTTTAATTGGAATGATAATATATTTAACATGTATTTAAATTTTTATCATACATTTTAGATATACATTTAAAGTCAAATTACTCATACACATAGTTGCTTGAACTATATCTAAAGGATGCTGTATATTATTGCATTTATGTGTATCTACCTCTGGGAACACTTTTGTTTTAGAAAGTTAGTTCTAGATGTCTCAATAGAATATCTCAGGCTGGTCTCCATTAAAATCCCACTTTCTCTTCTTACGTGGATCTCTAGCTATAGCAGTTAGCTCAGTGCAGTTGATCTTCATACACAGGTTTACATCTCAGGGCTTTTCTAAGCTATACTTCGAAATTAACATGTATCACTATTGCCACACTTTATTTGTAAAGTCAACTATAAAGGACTACTCAGTTTCAGGGGAAGATGACAGAGATTTTTGTTCTTTCTTGAAGAATGACCAAAACATTTACATATTTAAATTTACTACTTTTATTAAATTTTCTAATAAAAGTTAGACTCCAGTCTCACCAAATTTCAAATATCAATAGAAAATGAGGGCATTAAATATAAATTTTAAATATGAGATGAATCGGACCAGAGCATGATTACAACATGTAGGTTGCTTGCTGTGCATGATGGTAATCCGAGTTCAATTGCCAGCACCTAATAATGTCTCCAGAGCACTGCGAGGAGTAATCTCTGGACACAGAGATTAGAGCAATTCTTTAGTACCACTAGGTGTGACCCCGCCGAACAATAAATAGATAAATATGAGATTAATTTAAAATAAAATTACAAACACATTAATATTTATAATGTCTGGGATTTAAGATTCCTAATTCAACTGACTTCTCCAAATTCTTTGCAGTGAAAAACTTTTTTTAATTTATTAAAATAAATTCTATATTTTAGTGGTAGTGAAGAAACATTTCCTATCTTTTATGTTCTTTGATTCCCAGATTTTCTGACATCACAAATATCAAAATGAATTCCTAAGATGTTATCTTGTCTAATTCTCTGTCAAAAACTGTAATCTCTTGACAACATATCTGATGAGTAAGAAATTTAAATCTCAGCTAACTGCTTCCCTCTTCCATTTCAAATATATTGAACTTGGCTTTGATAAGTAAGTTATATGTAGTTATAGTCAAAACTTATGTCTCCTGAGTTTTTTCATTACCAATTACATGAGCAAGGCAATTTTGTTTATTTAAAAATTTATTATTATTATTATCATTATTATTGGGCTGGAGCGATAGCACAGTGGGTAGGACGTTTGCCTTGCACACAGCCAACATGGCTGACCCACGTTCGATTCCTCCACCCCTCTCGGAGAGCCCGGCAAGCTACCGAAAGTATTTCGCCAGCACTGCAAAACCTGGCAAGTTACCCGTGTTGTATTCGATCTGCAAAATACCGTAACAAGTCTCACAATGTTACTGGGCCTGCTCGAGCAAATTGATGAACAACGGGAGGACCGTGACTGTGACCAATTATTATTATTGCTATAGCATCAGAAATGTGTTTACAATAGTGTTATTATGTGTGG